CGTCTGCCAAGGCGACCTATGGGTTATTTTGATCAAGAGATCCTTACTGACATTGGTAACAAGATCGGACGTGTCGCTAAGATTGACTACAACACACTTCATTGTATCAGGGGCAACTATGCTCGAATCTGCGTCGAGCTCGACCTGAACAAGAGGCTAGTCTCTAAATATCGTCTTAAACGACGAGTGCGCAGAGTTGAATATGAAGGGCTCCATCTTATCTGTTTTGAGTGTGGCTGCTATGGAAACCTTCAAGAATCTTGCGCCAAAAATTCTGCTGACGGTAAACCTTCGGAGAACTTTACAGCCCAAACAAATCCTATGTTCAATTTCAAAAGCTCACAGCCAGTTCGACTGGAGGTTACAGAAGATTTTGGCCCCTGGATGTTGGCCACCAAGCCTCGTCGGCGGCAGGCACAACCAAAAAAGGAAAGTCACCAAGCGAAAGGGGACGACCGCTCAAACGAAGAAGCTCCATCTATGGTAAGTCCCAAAGTTTCCGGATCAAGGTTCTCAGCGCTTGAAACAGAGCTTTCGTGTGCATAGTTAATTGAGGAAAGCGCGGAAGTTGTGCTCACCGAGAAGGAGGTGGTAACGGCTACAAACCAAAAAAAGGAAAATTTAAAGGAGATCAGGCGGGATGGTAGGAAAGGGCTGGAAGGAATCAAGGAGAAGGTAACTGCTGAAGATCAAACCAAAATTAGGAAAATCAAGCCAGCAAAGGAAGGTTATAATGAAGGGGTTAACGGCATGAAGATCAACGCAGCAACTAAACCAGCGGAGAAAACTGTTGGTGTGAAACGTCCAACACCTCAACAGAAGGAGACCAACAAAGTTGGCCCCCAAAACCGTGCCCATTATAAGGCCCAATTTGGAATTTACCTGCCTAGCACTAATCCCACCCCGAACACCAACCCAGAGGCCCAATCTAGGAGACCGCTCGCTCCGATTGAGACCAACAAGACCCAGCGTAGTCTCCCTAGCTCGGATCAAGGAGCGTCGCCAACCTGTCTGAATCAGTCTGGCACCCAGCTCGCGGTCAAACCCCATCGCTTTGACCCACCGCCAAACCCTTCGGCGAGCCACACAACATCCCAGACAAAATCGACGAATCAAACCTCCATTGGAGGGACTTCAACGGCGAAGCTGCTGCTAGGGAAAAAAGATGACGAGAATTTGCTCGCCCGGAAGGAAGAAACAGGTCCAGGACAGCTGGTGCTCATCGGCGCCACCAATGTCAACCTGTCTGTTTGATCTGCGCCTGTCGCTGCCGTCCAGACAGTCCCTTCCCCTTTTCTCTACCATTATGTTTAAGATCTTTTGTTGGAATTGTAGGGGGGCGAAGCACCCCAAATTCACTTCTTCGTTCCTTAAATACTCCCGCCAACACTCACCGGACATTGCGATTATCGTTGAGCCTCGAATCAGTGACAATGACGCGGAAAACGTGATTTGTTCGATGGGTTTTGATAAATTCAAGCTTGTTGATGCCATTGGTTTTGCAGGTGGCATATGGATGCTCTGGAATGATAGTCGTCTGAAGACTGAGGTTCTTGATAAAGATCATCAATTTATGCATGTGAGATGCACGTTGCCTGATGATGAAACCTTCCTCCTTACAGCGGTGTATGCTAATCCGAAAGCGCAAGGCCGTCTTCCCCTCTGGAATGCACTCCGACGCCTTGAGAGTCAAATCAGCGAGCCATGGCTCTTGGTGGGCGACTTCAACTCTGTCACTAAACCTTCTGAAAGACAAGGCGGATCCCCTTTCAACCCTCAACGTGTTGCTGCTTTCAACGAGTGTATCTTTGACTGTGGTCTTATTGATGTTGGCTTCAAAGGCCCTAAGTTCACTTGGTCCAATGGGAGGCTCTCACAACGTCTTGATCGCGCTTTATGCAATCAAGAGTGGCTGCTCCGGTACCCTGAGACTGTCAACGATCATCTCCCTAAGCTCAAGTCTGACCACCGACCCATTCTCATCCGTAGCAGCCACAAGCATGTCCCGAAGAGGTGCAGCCGGCCTTTCAGATTCCTGGCAGCCTGGATGGCACATCATGACTTCCCCAATGTCATGGCCACGTCATGGAGGAGTGGGCAAGATTATTTAGCTTCCCTGGATTATCTTTGAGACTGCCTTAACAGGTGGAACAAAGAGATTTTTGGTTGTATCCATAGAAGGAAAGAGTCTCTCACTAGAATCTTGGCTGACTTGGAAGTAGCCAACGAACATAATGCCACTGAGGCTTCCATTGATCAGGAGAACCGTGTGAGGACTGATTTGGGGCAGACCTTGTGGCAGGAGGAAATCCTCTGGATGCAAAAGGCTAGATCGACTGGGATTATTGACGGTGACCGGAATACCAGGTACTTCCACAACAAGACCTTGGCTCGCCGTCGCATCAACAGGATCACTAGACTGCAGAAAGATGATGGGACTTAGACGGAGGATGAGGACACCCTTAAGTTGCTGGCTAGGGAGTTCTACCTCAATCTTTTCACTGATTCGGGGAATACTCTCCTGGCTATACCTGCTTTCTTCCCAGAAATTGACCCTAGTATCATGAACCAGCTTGCGGCTATTCCCACTCCTCTTGAGATCCACAGTGTCATCAAGAACATGGGAGGCCTCAAAGCCCCTGGGAAAGACGGCTTCCATGCGGTGTTCTACCAGAAGAACTGGTCTAGCATTGGGAGTGATTATTGTGATTTCGTTCGTGATTGCTTCCACAATCCCAAAAGAATCTGACGGTGCAATGAGACGCTGCTTACGCTGATTCCCAAAGTTGATTCTCCTAAGACGATGGCTCAGTTTAGACCCATTGACTTGTGCAATGTCAGCTACAAGGTGATAGTTAAGTGTTTGGCCGACAGATTAAAGTCTCTTATGTCGCAGCTGGTGATGGCAAATCAGTCCAGCTTCGTCCCTAAACGCCACATCACGGATAACATCATCATCCTTTAGGAAGTTGTCCATTCTTTGTCTATGAAAACCGGGAAAAAGGGGTCCATGGTTCTTAAAATTGATTTGGCCAAAGCTTATGGTAGAATTAACTGGAGTTTTTTGGAGAATACCCTGCTCTCTGCAAGCCTGCCAGGAAATTTCGTTAATATTGTGATGGCCTGCGTGACAACGACCACCTTTCAAGTCTTATGGAATGGTGGCATGACTGAAGAATTCCAGCCTGCTCGTGGTCTACGTCAGGGATGTCCTCTTTCCCCTTACCTCTTTACTTTATGTATCGAAAGACTTAGCCACTGTATTCAGGAGGAGGTTGAGAAAGGAAGTTGGTACCCTATTAGACTTTCCAAGGATGGCCCGCCCCTAACCCATCTTTTCTTTGCAGATGACCTTGTCCTCTTTGCGGAAGCATCCTTGCAGTAGGGAGGAGTTGTTATGCAGTGTCTCGACCGCTTCTGTGCTGCCTCTGGTGAAGAAGTTAGCAAAGACAAGTCCTGCGTTTTCTTCTCCAAAAATGTGAAGGAGACTGCCAGAAGAAGAATTAGCAACCGAATGGGAATTAGGAGCACACGGAATCTTGGTCGTTACTTAGGTGTCCCGGTCATACACGGAAGGGTTACTAAAGACACCTACAAGTTCGTCATTGAAAAAATTGACCAACGTCTCTCCGGGTGGAAGGCGAGGAACCTGTCATTAGCTGGGCGTGTGACTCTTGCTATGTCAGTACTTAATACCCTCCCAAACTATGTGATGCAAACTGCGGTCATCCCTGTCACGGTCTGCGATGTTATTGACAAAAAGATTCGTGGGTTTGTTTGGGGTGCGGAAGAAGGGACGTCTAAAATCCACCTGGTCACTTGGGATATCGTTTGTAAAGCCAAGGCGGAGGGGGGTCTTGGCCTCCGATCTGCCCGGGAACTCAACTTCGCATACATGATGAAGCTAGCATGGAACTTCCTAAACAATGAAGAGGAGTTATGGGTCAGAATTATGCAAGGGAAATACTCCAAACCAAACGGAGTTGGCGGTCTTCAAATGAGGACGAACCGGGTCTCACGGCTGTGGAAGGGTATTCTCAAGGCTTGGCCTGCCATGAAGGAGTGTTGCCTCTGGGATATTCGTAGTGGGCGTAATGTAGCATTCTGGACAGAACCGTGGTTGCCGGGAGGCATGATCGTAGCAACCATCTTATAAACCCCTCGACTGGCCCGAATCTCAATGCCTCAGTTGCTGAACTCACGGATGACGACGGTAAGTGGGATTGGAATGCAATCTCCCCACATCTCCCTAATGTTGTGCTTTCTATCATTGCAGGGATGGATCCCGCCGACCCGCAGCTTGGAGAGGACAGAACTATTTGGGGCCCTGAAGACAATGGGAAGTTTAGTCTCAAATCGGCCTACGCGGCAGCAGTGATATGGATGAAAGAAGGAGTGGTTGAGAATCAGGATCGATGTGACTGGAAGGGTTTATGGAAATGGGAGGGTCCAAGTCGAATCAAACATTTCCTGTGGCTCCTCCATCACGATCGTCTCCTAACGAACTGTGAAAGGAAACGGAGACACATCTCGAGAACGGATACTTGTCCCTTGTGCAATTCAAGTCCGGAGACTGCGGAACACATTCTCAGGGAGTGTCCCACTATTGTTCTAACTTGGACTTCTCTCGGCAGCCCCAATCTGCCCCTTAACCCACCAGTCTGTTTTGCAGATTGGCTTCAATTCAACCTCAGGGATGTCAACACAGGTCTGCATTTCGGTGTGGCTCTTTGGTACCTTTGGCGGCAGAGAAATGAAGCGGTCTTTGAGAAAATCGATCCTGAACCAACAGCTCTTGGACGGAAGATCACTAACTGGACAAGGACGATTGAAAAAGCCCAGGAGGATGATAGAAACAGCTACAAACCAGCGGACAAGAGGCGCCCCCAACAACTCTACTGGACCCCCCCCCCCTCCAACGGACGGATGGATCTCCCTTCAGACGGACGGCTCGGTCAAGCAGCCTACCTCCATGGCGGCGGCGGGTGGAATCATTCGGGATGAGCTTGGACGTTGCAGAGGAGCCTTTGCTTCTAATCTTGGAGTCTGCACAATCACCAGGGCGGAGATCATTGGCATGTTGGATGGCCTTGAGATGGCTTGGAAGAAAGGTCTCCGGAAAATCCATTTGCAAACCGACTCCTCTACAGCACTGAGTTTATTACTGCAGCACAGAGACACGGATCAACGATACTACACACTGACGGGCAGACTCAAATGCATGGTTGACCGTGACTGTGAGGTCAAAGTGAGCCATTCCTATAGGGAATGCAACAAGGTAGCTGATTATCTTGCTAATAAGGGCCATTCCCTGAGCCTTGGAACTCATAAAATTAGTTGTTCAGACCCTGGTCTTCGGTATTGGACCATGCATGACATTATGGGCACTGCCCAAACTCGTTTAATCTAAGTGCCAGGCAGGGGTGCCCTTTTAGCACCCCATTGTTTCACAAAAAAAAGAACTTATCACAATTCTTATGTACTTGTCAAGTTTCAAATATATATTTATTGGTCACTAAAATGAGTTCAAACAGTTCAACAGTTATCGGTCACTAAACAAACGTATTCCATTCATTGTCACTAAAATTAGTTCAACGGTTCAAGTTTGGTCACTCTCCGTTAGTCTCCGTTAACTCTCGCTGATGTGACAGACAACCCTTATAGTTGACCGTTAAATAAGTGACGTGGTAAATAAAAAATAATTAAAAATAAATTAATCTTTATATAATTTTCACCTCATTAAAACATTAAATAAAACATAAAAATTATTGTAATCACCAAAAATAATCATAACTTCCCAGCTAAAAGCCCTGCACTGTTGTGAAAAGAGAAATTGAAAGAAATGAAATTTGTTAGGGGAGAGCAAGGCTTGGAAGAACAAAATTGGAGAGGAGAAGAATCATGATCTTTCGTTCTTCTTTCTTATCTTCATATATATAGAAAAGAGGCAATAATTCTGCTTCTCCTATTTACACATGTGATGGCAAATTGTCATTTAATCAAATATCTAATAATGGATCTCGCTTGTCTATCGGCTGACGCCTCTCAAAGAACGCCGGCGCTTCTCTTCTCCCTTTTCACTCGATCTCTTTCCTTATTCTTCTTCCATCGATACAAAAACAGAGAGAAGAGGGCAGATGGTGGCAGCGACTCCTCATGAAAGCAGAGAAGAAGAAGAATTGGAGATCGAGTGACGAGGCCTTCCCCAGGTTTGTGTACTAGTAGCTCTGCAAAGCGAGTGAAATAGAGTTTCGTCATATGGATTATCCCCCACGGCAAGTAATCAGTGACGTTCCCCAGCTTCCCCACCCGAAATCGCAGAAACACTTCCCCAACAGAGATTTCTCCGGCGACTTCCCAAACGTCGTACTAACTATCCATCTCTCCATCTGATCGTCTCTCCCGCGGTGCCCTAAATCGCTCTCTCCGCGTATTGTCGTCCAGGTCTCAGCAGTAGTCGACCGGGGTCAGTAAGAACAGAGCGCCGTCAATTCTCAATCGATCACTACATGGTGTAGGGCTACTGTAAGAGGAGTAAGTATTCAGGATTTAACGCAGGGCGCTATAGAAAGGGCTCAGGGTTTCGCAGAGGAAGGTGATGGTGATTTCCTTTTTGTTGATTATAATAATTTATAATTTTATGTTTTATTTATTGTTATAATGAGGTGAAAATGGTAGAAGATTACTTTCTTTTTTTAATTATTTTTTATTTGACACGTCACTCATTTAACGGTCACTAAAAGGGTTGACTGTCACATCAGCGAAAATTTACGGAGACTAACGGAGAGTGACCAAACTTGAACTGCTAATTTTAGTGACCATGAATGGAATAAACTAATTTGAGTAGCAAACATAAAACTTTCTAGTAATTCCAATGACCAAACTTGCAATTTATCCTATTTATTGAGATATGATTATGCGTCATTAAATGGTAAAATGAAAAAAAAATTAACATAATTTATCACAATTCTTTTATATATATAGTTCTACGGTACCCAGGGTGAAATTTGGGGTCCCGCATACCTTGAGTAAGAAAACGCTATCCAAAACTTGAATTGACTGATCTTCCAGACATGATACTATACTCTAACTCTTAAAGATCAAAATCTAGGTCTTAATTCTCTAAATCTTATACTCCATGATCAATTTAATTAGAAACAATAATCGACGGTTATGATTCATCCAAATATAGGCAAAAAAATCAATGCACCATCTTAGGGTTTATAGTTTATGATTTGGATAATTAGGACCTAGTGTTCACTCATTAAGGGTTAGAGTATAGTATCATGCCCAAAAATCCTACTAATTCGAGGTCTAGATAGCGTATTCATACTCAAGGTATGCGATTTCATCTGGGGTACCGTAGAAGACTAGAAGGCACCATATTTATATATTTGATTCATTATTGAACACATGCTATCTAACTCGGATTTTGTTTTTGTTTTTTTTTTGTTTTTTTTTTAATGAAATCTCGATAAATAAAATCTAACTCGGATGAAGTATGTATTTACAAAAGATGCATGAACCGATCTTGAGATTTAATCCTTCTTTCTAGCTAAGATAAATTACTAAATTAATCACGTCGTAAAACGGGGAGATGTTCCCATCCACACGGCCAGGCGGGACACTTTTTCCATGTCCATCTAAGGCCCAAGCTTTTGGCAATTGGCTCCAATGTCGACTCTTCAGCCAAACTCAAAAAAACAAGGGTTAATACCCTAGTTTGGCGTAAGTGATAGTTTTTGCCCCATTTTTCAAATAATACATTTATGGTCTACTTTTGAAACTATTGGACAAATTTGACCCAAAATTTTCTTTGACCGTTAATATTGACGGTCAAACACTATTCCGTTAGTGACTCACCAAAAAACCACTGACGTGGCATGCCACGTCATTAAATAATATTATTTTAATTTTATAACTTAATTAATTAAGTTATAAAATTAATTATTTTAATTTTAATTAAAATTACTGATGTAGCTATATTTTAATTTTAATTAAGTTATAAAATTAAAATAATATTAATGACATGGTATGCCACATCAGTGGTGTTTTGGTGAGTCACTAACGAAATAGTGTTTGACCGTCAATATTAACAGTCAAAGAAAATTTTGGGCCAAATTTGTCCAATAGTTTCAAAAGTAAGTCATAAAGTCTTATTTGAAAAATGGAACTAAAACTGTTACTTACGCCAAACTTTGGACCAAACTATGGTATTAACCAAAAAACAAACAAAATCATAATTAATTATGATGACAACTCATCATACTAACTCCATTGCTCTGCTCGATTGAAATGAGAACACGTGGCTGGATTGGATGGATCCTTCCATTATCATCGTCGTGATTGATGCGTGACCGGCCGGCCAGTTCGTTGTCTAATCTGATTTGAAGATACAATACTGCTGAACGAGGTCGAAAATAATAGGGGTGGCTATTCGGTCGGTCCGGTTAAATTGGCTTGAGTTGATCTCGTTTTGATTTGGTCTTTTCGAGAATACAAGGACCAAAAATTAAATTGAATACAGTCTGGTCTTGATCTAGTCCGGTTTCAATTCGGTCTTGATTTTAGATTGAGCTTGTGGCAATTTGAGTGGCCTGAGGGGGGATTTGAGTGGCCTAAGGCCTGAAAGGGTTAGGAGATTAAATTTTGGGTGTTGGGCTCTTTTATCCGGTCTTTATCCGGTTTTCGGTCCGGTCCCAAACGGGTTTTTATCTTAAATCTAGGCCCGAAAATTAGATTGGATTATTTGCTATCCGGTCTCGGTCCAATCTCGGTTCGGGTTATACAGTTCAGCTTCAGGTAAAACCAAAAAGTCCAAACCAAATAACTAGCCTAAAAAATATAATATAAATGAATCATCAGTGATCAGTCTATGTAAGGTGATCAACGTTAGTGTCTATTGGAATGAGAGTTGAGAATGTTCCATGCATGAATTGGATCCATTTAATGACCTAAACTTACACGGTTAAAGAAGGGGAACCCTCACATGTGCTATAAGATCAGGAGTGATTTCGGTGGAATCAAAATATTTTGTTTATTTTCATGTACGATGAGGATTTTTTTTTATGAATGTACGATGAGGATTGGAAGGTAAGACTTCGTCTTGATTACTAACTAATCAAAAAGAGTTTTTTTTTTATATATAAGAACTAGATTGTACCCGTCCGTTGGCCGGTTGCAAAATAATAACGTAATTGATTTACCATAATGATATTTTATAATTGTTACGTAAAATATACATTCATTTAGTACGTGTTACGAAACGATAGTTAATTCTCACATAACAACTAAAATCAGAAGCGTTATGTAAAACTTCTGTAATGATTTAGCACTTTACGTAACACGAGATTAATATTCATTACATAAAAGAAATGTTCATTATATAAGGCTATCATCATAATGACACTTTACAATTATTTTGTAAAATAAACATCCATTATAAAAAGATTACGAAACAATAGTTATTTTTTAAGTAATTTATTTCTTGTATATGTACTTTTATAGAGTTGTCTCTTCATTTGCTGATTGGTTGATACTTCACATATTAAACATGTATAGCACATTTAGTACAGTATTTTAAGTAATTAAATTAATAATGTATTTAACTAAAAGTAAAATTACTGTGACATGAAGTTCACGTGACAAACACACTTTGCTTTAAACGAAAATTAGGGCTGGTAAATATTTAAAATATTTTTTTTAACAATCTGAGAATTATAATATTTGAAACCTAGAAATTTAGATTCTAATTCTCCAAAACGACGCCTTAGTAATGGTCTTTACAAAATATGGGATGTCCAAATTAGTTATTTTAACCATCACTGATGCATAAGTTATGGCCCAAAAGAGGAGTTCGGATTAGTGTAAACTTTTTTTTTTTATGGGAACCTGTATTTATTTCATTGATCAATCAGTCTCTGTTACATGGGCCACGGCCCAAATCTTCTTCTAACATAGCAAGCAGAGAGAGTGGTGGACTATCGGTCCAAACCACTTGACAATCCCAAACCGACCCAGAATGGGCCAACCAATGAGCAACCCTGTTCTTCTTTCTACTCGCAAAAGACCAAGATATCCGAATTCCAGACAGTCCTTCGTTCATCTTTGCCAATCTCAGAATCTCCTCACACCAATTTCCCAGTTCAGTAAAGTC